AGGTGCTCTAATGAATATTTATTATTCAAAGTGAAGTCCTTTAATACCAACCAAAATCCACTCTATTGCATGTTTGCAATGCTTCAGTAAAATACTTCCAAATAGGGAATCGCTATCTATCAGGCATTGGTCATCAAATACAGATTTATCTATTTAAAGATGACACTTTTGGACTGCTTGGTAGTTCATTCTATCAGGAATTTAAACAATACTTAATGTAACTGCTGTCAGCTTCCACTTTGACTACTTCAATAATTAAAAACTATCAGATAAAATAACCTCCTGATTCATAATTATTATATACACTAATTGACTTACTGTGACTCATTTTTGCAACAAAACCCATTTTTTCTTTGTTCATGTAATTTCAGTTCTACGTACATGTCAATCCTACTTACTTGCTTAATTTATGTACCCACTTCTTTATCAAGCCAGTAAGTTCTGTTTCTATGCCCATCTATTGATCAATGATGCCCACTGCCTCACAAAATTGAATAAATTTCTTGTTGTGAAATAAACTTCCAAATATATTGCTGAAAAATGTTACCTTTTTGAAGAGTAGCTAGACAACATAAAACCATACACCACTAGCCCAGAAATAAGTGACTACTGGCAAGTCCATTTCTCAGGCTATTTCTATTAGCTTCACCATTCAAGGTTAATTCCTTCCCACATGCACCAACCTAGATCAGTAAGCAGTATTATCAGCTGACATGAGGCTGCTTTCCCAACGATAAAAGTCTCAATCATACATTCTTAGGTACTAGTGCATTTTGTTTTGCTCCTTAAACAATTGCATCCATTTCAAATATTAAGGTTTACAAAATACTACTACGATCTTCTGAAAACTCTTAACGGTCCATACTTAAAAACTTCAAGTAAGTGTCCCTCTAGCTGTGACACTGCACACATGTTGTGCAATAGCATTGCGCACATGCAGTTGTATCGTGTAAGAAACCGTAATCCTCTTCGCTGCCACCCATTAAGACTCCAGCTGAAACATACTCGAGTTGTGCCTGAATAAAGGTAGTGGCTTTATCAAGATTACAGATGGAGAGATGGATCTGACCTCCATTTCCTTCTTTGAATTTTCTGGCTGCATTAAAATCCACACCCTCACCTCCCCATATACATCATACCATTAGACAGAATCCAGGCAGATAATAATCCAGGTGACATACTTTCCTGTACTGCTATGCTATCTACTCTGGTTTTTCAGCTTGTCTCTGATAATCAATGTGTCAAAACCAATGTTTCCAAGAACTACTGTATAGGACATCTGCCTTCAGATTTTAAATCCTATTTCTTTTTCTTGCACACATTATTTCCCAGGTCTAATGTCAGCGTTTTGAATGGGCTGCAACTTTCTCTTCCTAAACATACACCTCAACGCTTGTTTGCTGTTTTAACTCAAACATAAGTTGGGAAGTTGATGTACGATGATTATCTTGGCCATTCCTAATAATTATATTAGTTATTCCTACCATAACTTCAAAGTGCTTATAGAACTTGCCTTTCTTTCTTTACAGGTTGTTAATTTTATCTCCCTCCTCCTGTCTGTCTCCTCTCAGTTACCAACCTTGCCCCTTTTTAGGGGAGAACATGTTAAGCTTTAAACCAGTCATCTGCATGCTTTTTCTTTTTATCTTGCATTCTGTTCTGGCTACCTGAAGCTTTTTCTGATCTAGTGAGCCACAGGCAGAGGGAAGAAACCCCTTCATACTCTCAGAAGGACCACTGCTTATGCTCACAGGAAAAGGGCAAAGAGAGGCACATGCCTCTCTCCACACCCTTGATGACAGCACTTCCCTTGCTGACACTACCTCCACCTCCTACTGCAACTTCAGTGGGTGCAGGAAAAGCACAACCCCAAGAACCCCAGAGGGGGATACCTCAAGCAATCTAGTTTTCCAGTTCACTAAAGGTGAGAAAGCAGTCTTTGCTGTATTGTTGCACTAGACGAGTACAAATCCAGCCTTTCTGCCTTTCAGTAAAAAAGTATAAGGCAAGAACCCATAGGATTCTGTTGTTGTTCCCAGGAAAAAAATGGTTTATTACATAAAGTTCAGGAGATGGGCAGAAGGGGAAATGGCTCCTAGGCTGCAGCACCCTCACTGACAATGGTGGTCTGCTGGAAAAGTAACTTTTTTACTTTTTCTCAGCTTCTTGGTGAATAAAGTGAGTGAAAGTGATTAAGTGTGTGTGTGTACTCATATACACACACACATATACACACACACATATAAACACAGCACAGTGTTTACTAAGCAAGTTCAGGGTAGAAGAGACAAGGGCAACTCCTTTTATACACAGTTATTTCCATTAAAAATTAGCTCCAACATACCTCTTGAACACGCACTGCACAGATAATCTTAAGTTTTTCAGTTATATATGACAGAAGAATCTGGCTAAATTATTTTTTTAATTTCTAAGAACTAAGGTCTAAGGTATGAGTAGAGTTTTTAAGAAAAAATCCTAACATTTTCAATTTGCCTAGCTGTAGCAGTTATTTTTATACTAATTACTTAGTTTAAAAAAAATAATGCAGAACGGAAAATTTCAGTATTTTACAACTTATAATGGTGGAATTTTCAGAAGCAATTTTATTAGAAGTACTAGATACTTCAAAGATTTTCATCACCCTTGATCTTACTAAACACTTGCTTTCCTGCCCTCTAGTGCTCATATCTATTTAAATCTCCTATACAAGTTTGGTTTTGGAAACCTCCTACCATGTAAGTGGTCCTACTGAAATAAAATTCTGTATCATACGGCTACTTACACAGTTATCTGAAAGGTAAGAATTTTCAGGTTACTTTACATTTTACAAAACCAACGTACGGCAGTTTTCTTCATCAGCTTTGGATCATATATAATGAGTTTAAAATGCATGTATTGAAGCTTACTTCTGGATTTATTATTAAAACATTTTCACTGGTAGCTAAAGCTGTTAGCTATATACCAAACCACAAGCTTCCACAGTATTTACAGTTTTTCATCCACATTAAAAGCTCTTCTAATTAATGCAATTAATTTCCCCTCTAATCATGTAGTTTGTTATAGTACTGTGCATGCTTACATTTAAAACAACGTGTTGACATACTGTAATTACTCCCATGCTACCAGAAAACCAGTGAATTAAATTTATTTAGTGTTAAACGGATATGGAATGTTATACAGTACATGTAAACACAGTTCAAGATGAAGAAAGCAGAACTAATTGCACAAGAGATTAAAGGTTCACCTCAATAGTCAGTATTATCAAATCATTACAGCTTCCATCTTCAGAGTGCAAGGTATGTCATGCAAAAAAAAAAATAGCTCAAAAAATCCCCAAACAGACAAAACCAACATTGTGGTACCACTTAAAATGCTATCATACCACAACATTTTACAAGACATTAAGTGATCGTTCATAGAGAATGAAGCATTTTAGCAATAACAAAAAGATTTTCAACATACTTGACAGATTTTGCATGAACACCAATTCCAGCATTACTATACCTAAGGAACAGGCAACATGCTGGGAGAAGGTACCTAAAAATCAAAGCCTTTTTTATTCATAGCCAATATTACTTTCTGCAAGAGTTATGCAATCTTATTATTCAGATTCCCCACATAAGTGGGTAAAGTTCAATACATTTTTACATGGAGCATAATCACATAACCACTACATCAGCAAGACGATTTCATTATCTTGAGCAGTTACTACATTTAAAACCATGGTATGATAACATGCCCTGCAAACAAATTGTCTTCTGGGACAGTGTCCTGTATGTAGAAACATAAAACAACTAAAATATACTCCTAACCACTTTAACAACCCCAAATGAACTATAGTTTGTATTTACATATTTTTGAAATATGTATGTAAAAACTGCAGATGGAAGAGAAGCAGAACATACCAGAGAGAGATGACAGGGCAGACTGAACTGATCGCTGCGTTCAGTAACCCCGAAAGAGACTTGAACAGGAGGTTGCACTTTTTGTACTCTTCCTCCACCCAAGTGGTCTGATCAGGGCTACCCAAGGCAGCTGCTGCTGTGAAAGTGCTCCGCATCCCACTTACGCACTCCTCGCCCAGCCGGCTGAGCACAGGGAGCTGGACCTTGCACCCCGACCAGCTCCACTCAGCCAAAAGCACCGTGGATAAACGCACTTCTATGCACCTGCTTCAATTACTGCTTGAACGTTAACATGGAAGAAACACAGGAGATGACAGGATGGTTTTTAACATTTCCACCTAGCAATACTCGTATCTTGAGGGCATCAACAGGTAGATTAACTAACCAAAATAAGCATACAAAAAAGGCCAAGTTGTTTGCCCTCATATTAAGAATAAACTACTTAACTTCCCGGCTTAAATGTAAGCAAGAGGAACTCAAGAAAGACCTCCTTGAGGTTAATTTTCGAACTACATTCAAAGAAAATAATTTATTAAAACTGTAACTTGCAAGGTCTACTAGCCTTGAAGTGAGGATACAGGTTAACTATACCTATAGTTAAATAAAAAACTTCAGAAGACATTTTACAGAAATAAAATATGCAACTCTAGGAAGTAGGTGGAAAACCACTTCAGTATTCAGCTGGAACATTCTATTTTCATAGCCCATCATTCTCAGGAATGTATATTTCATAAATAAAAATACAGAACAAAAATTCGTGTATTCAATCTAGAGTTGGATATTTCTAAACCTCTTCAGATAAAATTTGCCTTCTCCCTCACAAATAAGTGATAAACCCTGAAAAAAATTGGCTTTTCAAATCTATCGTGCATGAGAAAACTCAGATCAACAAACATCTGGAAAAAACATTTTGTACAAGGTTGCAGTTCTAAACCACTTATATTACAAAGCAATGTAAATAAATACCAGGCGAGTACAAAAGGTCTTATTTACAGTTTTACAAATGAAAACGTTTTCAGTGTAAATGCAGTGTTTTAAAGAACACAATATTAGTAAAACGAATTCCTGTATAGAGCATTACAATTTATGCTAAATTTCAATGCAGTATTGTATAAAATCATTGTTTCAAGTTAACTTTTGATTATAATTTAGTACAGCCAAACCCCAGTTTATGCCTGGAATGGTATCTGTTAAAGTGCTGAAAAAGAGGACATTTCTGAAATTTTAGAAAAACATACTGTACATTATTAAAGCTTTATCAAGTCACAAACGGTATATTTTGTTCACATTTGCTACCACACCACCTGCAGATGAAAGTTTTTCAACAACTCATTGTAATTAACAGGATGGCAGCCACTGGTATCTTCACATCCAAAGTCTGACGGTTTCCCACAAGTAATTCGTCTTAAGCTTCAGTGGTGGCTTCGGGTTTCATAATCTGGTAAGTAATCAAGTATTCTGGATAAGCCTGAAAGAGTTACACACACATTCTTTATTATGATTTCATTTTCCCGATAAATTCGGGATGTTTGCTAGAGAAGAGAAAAAAGTATTTATGCCAAAGAAAAAAAGGCACAATGTCAAAGGTAAAATGTATGGAACATTCAGGAAACACGGGTCCTTTTACCTGCAATGACAGATGGAGTTTGTTTTAAGACAAAAGTAAGTCCTAGCACCTCAACAGTAAGAGAAACCCCAACACATGACATGCCTTTAAAAAAAAAAAACAACCAAAGAAAAGAGAAACCAAACCAAAAAGCTATTTACCTGCTCCCCTCTGTAAATGACATATTCTGCCAATGCCAATCCATTTACACTGGGTCGCCCAGTAACTGAGTGATGTCCTGGGGGAGAATGAGCCATTTTCATAGCACTGAACTGCAGGAAAGACTTGCCCAGTGTTACACGACAAAACAGCAATTGCCTGTGTTAAAAGGGAAAAAGAACCATGAACAGAAAATGCTTGTGAAGCTCCAGAAAGACTATCTTCATAATTTGAAACTTTTACTTGAGAAAAACAGTGGAACTTTAAAGCCAGTTTCACAAAATTCTGAAGTTCTGTTTTGAAGGACGAAATTTCACTCTCTTTGGAAAAGCTCGTTAGCCTGAGGAAAGGGTTGGTAATAACATAAAAAATGCTTATCTTAATTACTGGAAAAAGCATACTTAACAATGTACTCAAAGATTGTCAGTACTTTTTTTTTTTTTAAATGTTTTTGTTTTTTTAAAAAAGTTTTCTGAGGGTGCTCCTCCCCCATCACCTCTACTAACAACATAATTCACTCGTGTTCTAACACTAGTTTTGTCTCTAACAGCCAAACCGACATCAAGGCCAAGTGCAAACTCTAGGTCAACATGAAATACCTCATATTATGTCAGTATGTTACGTTGTGTTCACTATAAAAAAGCAGAACAAGGGTACTAATTTATTTGCATAAGTACTTCTGCAATGGCAATGGAACCTGAGCATTTCTGAAGATCAATGTTATACACCATTTTGCTCAGCCAAAACTTTTGTTTTTCTAACTCTTCACACAAGACAAATTGAAAAAACTTTTTATTCAGAACTTCAGAAAGCATGAAAAGACTCTGACATCCTCTGTAACTCTAGATTATTCTCTTTATTTGAGAGTGCCAGAAAAGAGTAAGGAATATTAAAAGGGTCAGAGACTCAATGAACGAAACTAGAAGAATGACCTTATCCCTGTTACACCACTGCAAAACAGTATGCACACAAACACACAAAACATTGTCCTGGTTGAAACAATGGCCACTACCACAATTAACTCCATGAAGAAGGAGCAATTCATATTCTGAACTGATGGTCTCAAGAAGACATAACAGGTGTTCTGCAGAAAAGTGGATTTAAGAACTCAGTGGTAGAAAATCCACAAATCGACACCTGTATTTCAGCATGTGAAGCAGCAGTGACATGGAGGCTGACTGTTCATAGATTTCATAGATTTCTAGGTTGGAAAAGACCTTAGAGATCATCAGTCCAACCGTCTCTAATCTCCCATTAAACCATATCCTTAAGTAGTTCATCCACCCTTTTCTTAAACACATCCAGGGATGGGGACTCCCTGGATGTTACAAAGTACATCCTCCTCAAAGAAATACAGCATCTGAATATTACTGAATTTCTCCTTTCCCTTCAACAGGAAATGGACTAAATCCTCATACTGCTGCACCTTTCACTCAAGCCTGGCAGATCCTCTTCACTCTCTGGCTACCTAAGTCTGATTTTTATGGTAACTTAAGGGCAAAGGTTTGGTTAACTGCACTGACAATGGTTAAGGGTTCTCTAAGACTTAAAACATCAAAGTTTTCTGAAAGTCTCTATTAGGCCCAACATATAGAGTGCTGAGAAGGTTTGGTTACCAAGCGAATATTTCTTCAGAGAGAGACTCTGCTGACTTGATGGTCTATAACACAATACACAAAGGCAAAAATCAGATTCTTTTCAATGACTTACCTGTGGCAAACATAACAAGATCTATCTTTGTGAACTGGACATCCAGTGCCACCTCCAATTCCATACACATATTGATTGCTTTTGGAAGAATTTTCAGCAAAATAAATCCCAGCTCCAAACATGCCACCTATATAGGCATGTCTCTCATCAAAGCCTTTGTGAATGATTGCATTCACAAATGGGGAGCCTACGAGAAAGGAAGTAAAATATTGAAAATACAGTATACAGGTTTTGGTATGTGTCACAATTCAATCATCCATTCCCAACTTTTTTTTTTTGATATGGTTTTTCTACACATACAAGGATATTAGTCTCCAGAAATTCTGACCTCAGATTTAACAGTCAATTTGCTAGAGGTATTATACAAATGACAGTAGGTGGTAAGTGTACATTTTAAACAAAGATTTACAAAGGATAACATCTGAGACAACTCTCACTGCAGGAGAAGGCTCTACGAATCTGCCCTCCCTTTGGCAGAGCTTAATTCTAACCAAGATTCATTGAATACATTACTACACAAATCCTGATTGGATTCTGCATCTCAAGACACCTGATACCCATTAATTTTTCATAAAAAGTGCAGGTTTTTTAGTAAGGATTTTTATAACAGTATATAGAAATATGAAGGCACCTTTAGAGAAAAGCTGTTCTAAGAGAACACGGCATTTTGGAGTTACACTGGGAATTATAGTGAAAATAATTCAAAGCCTTATCCTCCAGCTTAAAGATGATAAAACCATATATGAAGCAGAAGAACATTCCAGATGAGAACAAGAAAAACCTACGACAATTGCTCGTCATCTTCTGCAAGTGGTATACATAGTTAAAGACATATGTTAACAATTTTAAAAAAATACATAAACTAAACACTTAAAAAAAAAAAGAACACTCATAAGGCATTAATTGCTTTGTTTCAGGGATAATTTTGTTATTCTATAACTAATTTAAAAGACTTCCCTTTAAAGACAGGTCATTCCATTAAGAGGCCGTTTCCCCTTACAGTCAAAAGACAGGATTTAGATATCTACAAGTTTGGGCAAGCAGTTAATTACTGTTACTGCTGCTTCCAACATCAATGTATTATGTTGTGACCTATGTAGTTTTGATTGTAAGGATGTAACACGAACTTGCTCAATTTGCTTGTCAGGACAAAGTATACATGTGTGCAGAGGAGAGTTGTCAATTGGCTTTGATTTGCTAATTATAAGCTATCTTTTTTGGAATGATGAACAAGAACTAACTTATCAAATTATAAAAAGAACAAAACAAAAAAAAACCCCACCCAAACCAACCCATAGCAGAATAAAGTTTGACGCTTAATAACTTTTGTCATTAAGCTCATAAAACAGAATTAGCAGCTTAATCAAGGACAAGGCACACCTCTTAATCTCCATTCCTAATTGTTAAATGGTTTCACTTAGAACTTTGAAGTCTCCTTCAGGGAGAGACAAGGAGATGCAAATTTCAGAAGAAAGATGCGGTGCGTTTTATGTCCCCATTGTGATGTATACAAACACTTGTTCATCTAAAACTCACATAAAACCTAGGACCTATTTCCACTGAGAAAATTTACTTTAAGCCAGTACAAATCTCACAATAGACGAGTGCTGATGGTGAAACATGTTCATACGGTGTATTTCAATATCTCACCATGAAACAGCATCCTTTCATTAGCATGGTTATGATTCTCTTCAGAGACCTCTTTCCTCCTGTGAGTATATCTTTCCCATAGTTTTTTGTTGCACACTTTCTGAATCTGAAACAGTCAAAACGTAAGTTCCACCCTGAAACTGAAAACTTGTTTGCTTTACTTGACAGATATTTAACCTATAGCAGCTATACCACAGTACAGTTACACTGCCACTTAAGAATACTTTCCTTAGACTCAATGAAACACAAATTCTCTAACTTATCCTGCAGAAGTTGATTGTTGTAGCATAATTTAGGCAAATCATAATTACATACTTAATTAAATATCAATTCATTTTAAACATCTGTTGAGCAATACTTCTTAATTTAAATTTAGCAAGCTTAATCACAATTCTGCTTGGGTGTCACTCCAAACATAGCTTGATGCCAAACCACTAGTATAAGGATCACCTAGTAAATTAAGTGTTTTCCATGAAGACTTTTAGAACGCTTCTAAAAGAAAGTTAAGTTATGCACTCTCTGCAGAGGTATGCTGGACATTAGCAAAGCCTCATGTGTGTAGATATAGCTTATCAATTCTACTGACGAAACTGTAACATCAATTCAGAACAAAGCTTAGTAGTACTTACTTGCAAATCAAAATCTCTTATCATTTTAATGAAAATGATAATTTCTTCAGGGGGAAAATAAAAAGGCAAACCAAAATTTCACTAAATTATTTGAAGCAAGGCTGTATGCTGCCTGGTGTTTTAAGCTTCTTTGGCGTTAAATTAAGTCAAAATAGGTACCCTTGCTTTCACGTTTCAGGAGTTTTGCTTTCACTTCCTGCTGTTTTTTTTTTCCCTGCTATTCCCTCAACAGAAATATCATCTTTGTCGGTGACGTGGACAGTGGCATGGAGTGCACCCTCAGCAAGTTCGCTGATGACACCAAGCTGTGTGGTGCCGTTGACACGCTGGAAGGGAGGGATGCCATCCAGAGGGACCTCGACAGGCTGGAGAGGTGGGCCCGTACCAACCTCATGAAGTTTAACCAGGCCAAGTGCAAGGTCTTACATCTGG